CCGCATTATGTCAAATCGAAAGTACTTGGCCAGAACAAAGGCCATGCAGATTCGAATGAATATCTCAATCCTAGAAGATTGGGCTCGGACGAATAACAGACAGGCAGAGCACTTTGAAGGAGGTGAAATGCGCTCTTCAGGGGAGTCAACAATGGACGCTGCTCGAAAACATCTGGCACCCGTAATCCAGCTGCTCCAATGGCTACAATGCTTTTCATCGCTTAATGGAGATGATATGGAGGCTTTGGTCATCACACTACAACAGCTCAAGAGACTGAGTCCCCAGCAACTTATCCACTCAGCCAACCACTACAGGCCAGAAGTAGGCGAGAAGGGATTGCCAAAGAGTGCTATGAAATATTTGATCAATTTACAGAAAGAGGCGACGCTCAAGCGGGAGAGACGGCGGAGTGGTGTACCTTCACCACAAAAGTCAGGCCAGGACAGCTCGCCAGTGACACCGGTAAAGGGCCGGTCAAACGGGAACAATCTCGCCACTCCTGGAGGTACTGCCAGTCCTCCAGAGGATGATTGGGACGAGGATGATGGCATGCCAGAGCACCTGCTGCTGGATCCCGCCCTGATGTTGCCTTTCGTGCTGCCGTCGGTAACTGACATGCTAGTAACTTACGGCGCTGGACTTGGCGGAGTTAACCGTGAGCGAGAGCGCAAGTATATCCCCACAGTGCCACCGGAGTTTCTTGAGAAGTTAGAGGTGAGCGGCGGAACTAGAAAGGGCCCCATGTTCGGCGAAGCAGATTGGGAGAATGAAGAAGTTTGAGGAAGTGACACCAAGGCCGTCAAGGATGCATGACCAAACCGGCAGACAGCGAGACTCGACCTGGAAGGTCAAATGATGGGGGAGGGCTGCTTCTGAGACTCTTTTGCGTCAAGCAACGAGGTCTCTCGCCGTTGATACTGGGATTCGGTGATAGAACGTGGACGTCAAGGAGCATCCCACGGGCCAGATTTGGCGAATTAAGCCAGTGAAGGCAGAGACTACGGAACGCCTCCTATGCAACCTGTAAGGGGGCAAAAAGCCCTGAGTGACGGGAGAAATCCCACGGTGACGGACACGCACCCACTGCAACGTTCTTAACGCGTTGAAAGACCATCACCAGACGGTGGAGCATTTAGCAAACGGCCAACCCTACACACTTTCTACAACAGAAGAGGCAAAATGGAATATGTCTTCATTTGTAATTCTAACACAAGCGAGGCTGTATAGTTTAGCATATGACATATGGAGTCGTGTAAGGAGAATCTGAAACCTGATGTTTTGCCAATACTTTGTTGCTTTTTGCTACCATGATCCGTCCATGAGAGACATGTGCCAGCCCTCTCAGCTCTCCCGTTTACCAGCCACCTGATCGAACAGTGACTGTTTGACTCATCAGACTTGTGGTTGCAGAGCAAACTTCAAGCTTTGTGGACCAAATGCGCCATGTTCCAGCCTAGCAAGGGTTACGTATCCACCTCAGAACAACGCGGCGTTGTCTTTTGCTGCATGCACTCAACCGTTGGCAGTTTGGATGTACAGTACGGAGTAAGCTAGAGGGCACTTCTTTTCTCGTTTCCCTATCCGTCATTGTGCGTTGTTTGTGCCCTACCTGTCTCAGACCAGTCCTCAACAAGCGTTTGTTGTTTGTTTGTGTGGGTTTTCCGGCAACTTGCCAGTCTCGAGGATTTACAGAAACGACGTAGGAAAGAGAAGATAGAAATGCCCTTTACCGCTATTCGCTCCCGTCTCCCGCCTCATCATCAGGAGAAGGGAAAAGAAAAGAAGCCATAACCAACCACGCGGTAGACGGATCAACGTGGAGAAAATGCAGCAGCAAGGGGTTGCCCGATGAGTTGGCATCGACAGACTAGGGCATGGGTCTTGGGCGGTGACATCTACAGTTGCAGCGTTCAGAGAGGCCATCCAGGCCATTCTCTGGGCAGAACGTGGACTCACTATGCCACCGTGGCCCGGCCGGGACGGAAGGGTACTTGCAGCCTTCCCGGTGCCATCTGCGATATTTCTTCCTTTTTGTTTTCATTATTATGCAGGCTCCCTATAAGCCAAACGAGGAGGATCTCGTCTGTTCGAGGTGTTGCCTTAGCCGGCTCAATACCAAAGCAGGACAAAGTCCGATCCCTGCATGTATCCCAGTATAAAAATCTCCCAAGGTTCGGGAGCGGGTAGATCTTCCCAGGGCAGATGGATATCACACAGATAGCTCTGCGAAGATTCGCAATGATCATGTGAAGACTGAGACAGTTTCCAATTTTGCTTTTTCGTCTTCGCCAAGATGATTTTCTCATTCTTGCTGGGGAAACGAAAAGAAGCATTTCGTAATTCGCGGTGCTTTATGTAAGGGAGAAATAGGTTCCGTGGTGGGCCTTGGTCAAGAATGTGATAAAGTGTAAGAGCTCGCATGAAAAAGTCTCAAATCAGCACAGCCTATCGGGAGATCATCATCAGAGTTTGACCCAGAGCTAGGGAACCACTAACTCAGTAGTCGTAAACTCATAATTACTTCAACAAGAGGGTTTGGTTATGGAATTTGAAATCAGAGGAGTATGTAGGTGTCAAGACTCAAGATGAACGAGTGCTTATTTGCTCATCAGTTTCCCGGATAATAAGCATGTCAAACTCATGGAGACGAACTAGTGATGATGTGAATAGAGGAAAAACTGAGTTTGATATACACTCTCGTGTACCGAAATTAGTGGCGGCAGCGTTATACTGTACTAAGGGTACGGGAGGGCTGCAAAGTTGTGTAGCTGATCTAAAATAGGCGATTGCGTGGTTTACTTGCATACTGTAGTCATGCGCTCTCACTCAATCACACTGGGACATGTTATCAAAGTTCTGTCTTTGTTTTGAGGCTGCCGTTGTTATTAAGGGGTCTCGGCCTCGGCTAAGTGACTGATGGCTGAGGCGCTATTAGATGTGTTCCAGAGTAATTGACTGTCGTTGAATCAATGGATTTGAGCGGAAAAGAAACGCGTAATTGGAGAGTGTGAGGCTGCTGTGAGACCAGGTTATCCCGCCCCGTGTTGTCTTATCCTCGCTCAATGCAATGTGGTGCTGAGTGCTGTGTTGACCGATGAATGGCCATCGTTTGGTGTCTGGTCGCGGGTACCTTGCAGACCCTACATCTTCTAGGCGGCCCTATCGCTAATCCTGGTCGGAATGGATGACTCTGACATTTGGGTATCGATTGGATCATTGTGATAGCTCACAGAGGCCAAATAAGCTCGACCCGAAACCTTTTGCAGCATGGTTGGAAGAGATGCTGGTTGGCACTTGGCAGAAGAAGTGCCTCTCTGAACAGCTGAGGAAGACATGTGCGACCTGTGCTGTGCTTGTCTTTGCCTTTGACTGGGGGCATCTCTCGGTGATACCTTGCTTCCGGAATGTAAACGCTTTGGAGATACAGCCCACAGCATCCAGCATATAGATCGTGATGATAATTAAAAGACTCATCGCCGTCACCGTCGCCGTTTGGGGTCTTGCTTGCATCAGCCCCCAAACTCTATAACCTGGTTCATAGCGAGGTACATTCGGCTGTAGAGGTTGTCACCATGCTTAAAACCGGATTGTATGTATAATATTTTCTGTTGGGTCTTCGTCCTGGAGGCTGCCAACCTTTCTTTGTGCCTGAAGAGCGAGGAGTGTGGTATGGCCGTTCAAAGGGTTACATGGGATGCATGCAATTCGCCGGCCATTCATCAATGCCTCACCTGAGCTCTTCCGAGTGTCTTTTTCTTCCTAAAAGCCCATGACTAACCATGCGTCGATGTGTTGTATTCCGGCCCGTCACGTTCATTTATTATCTGTGATTACCTGATGGTCAACCTCCGACATTTCGACCTGTACGTGGTTAGCCGGGTGTAAGTGCGGTGTGGATTCGCCCAACCCACACGTCAACCACATCGAGCCATTGAGTTTTCACCGTCTCGACTCGCTTCGTTTGCCTTGCCTTAGCTCTATGCTCGATATCCCATAACTCAACTTACTTACCGCATGTAGTGGGCGGGTTCTTGCCGTAGCCAACGGAAAACGGTGGAGTCAGTGGATGATGTGGCTGTCAGTAAATGGACCAAAGAAAGACGAGAAGAGAGAAAAAGTCAGGTTTTGTTTATTTTTTCTTGGTTGTAGTTGCATTGTCGATGAGTCGGTCTAGCAAGACTAGTCACCAGTAGTAGAATTGATATGGTGTATAAGGAACGCACTTCCATATTCATCTTGAGACCGATTCGCCTCGCTTGGCTTCCCCCATTACTTGCTTGATCGAATATTCTTGTGAGACCGTGATCTGTGCCTTCCATCAAAGGCACTGCACCTCACTCTACATCGACCGTTGTTTCCACCTGCACACGACTTGACGACCTTGTCTCACGACCAATATTTGAACAAAATTCAAAACACGGGACATTTCAGTCTGGATCAATGTTGTGCCAACCTTTCGAGTTTTCGCTACAGAACGATCCTTGACCATTTCTTTGCATACCCGCAACCTTCAACTTGACATCTGCGAGATTACATTGTCTCATTCAAGTCTAAGACCTGGGCGACTCGAGTCGATTCTGATCGACCTACTTTCGATAGATTTAAGTTCCAGTTCAGTCCAGTCCGCATTTTGGCGCTTATTTTCGAGTCTCCCTTCATAAGACTCTCCCTTGGGTTCCCTCTGGATTCTCGACTTTGCCGCGGCTGTCTATAACACCAGCTCACGGCCCTCTCCCTTTCTTCAGCTTGCTCTTAGACTCCTCACCTGAGCTATTGGGTCTGGTCTTGGGTGTGCTCGATCCACGGTATTAGCTTTGCTCCCTTGCATTTGCTACTCATCCAACCAACCCGGTGGGGTCTCACCTACAACCAAGCTTTTATTTACACGAGCAGACCACACTGTTGACACCAACCAGTCACACTGGTAGTTGGTTCGAGGTCTTTAAAACTCGCATCATTCTCGTCGTTGGCTCCTTTGTTCAGTTCACAAAATAGCGCCATGTTGCCATCCAAATTTGGGAGTGGGCGGCAGAAGCAGCCTGAACGCCGAACCAGTTTACGACTTGATCCCAGCATAGTGGCTTTGCGATACGAGAAGACGGTACCAGCAGAACCTCCGATTCTCATTGTCTCACGAGACCCTACTCGGCTCTCACGTCGTCCTTCGTCTTCTTCGGCATCATCTCACAGCTCCCGCCACCGTCCTATTGTGATCGTACCTCCTGGTATTGTCGCACCGCCTGCTGAGGAGCACCCGGCCCTCCGAGGCTCGTCATCATCGTCATCATCATCACCACCAGCTCTCAGGACTTCTCCAGTATCAGTGGAAGAGTGGAAGCGTGATTCTGGGGTTGCTAGAAACAAGTCTACCTCAACAATTCACGAAGAAGAGGACGAAGATGGCCACTCGGGACCCGAATGCAAGAACAAGATTCCTGCAGTGGAATCAAACGTATCATCACTGGTATCATCCGTCATGCCGCAGCCCAGTATGACAACACAGCGAGACGAAGATCCATTTGTGGACGAGAATAGCATCTTTGAGCCGCTAACATCAATACCCACCGATCCCTTTTGTGTCGTGTACAACGCTCGATGCACCACGCCGCCTCCTCCATCTCAGGTGTCCCACTCCGATACACCGTTACCATCACCTGCACCTGCAACACCTACTCGACCAAGTAGGACGACTGCTTCCACTGTTCCTTTCTCTATTCCTTACTCTGAGTACCTTGCAGGCAAAGTTCCCTCCTCCCCAACATACCCTCCTCTATCAAGTTCTCGCTCTCACAAATCTCCCTGTTCCTCAATCCCATCGTCTCCTCGTACTTCTTGTTCTTCATCTCCCCCCACAATCTCCAAGGGCCTATCAAGATCGGGGTCCTCTCGGTTCGGTACATTTTCGCAAATGTTCAACACTCCAATTCAACCCTTGTGGCGGGGCACCGCTAGCACCGCCAATTCCAGCGCGTCTAGTACCCCAACTGTCAGTGCACAATCCACTATTACCACAGCCCTTGGCGCTACCGTCAACGCTCCAGCCACTGATGCCGATACGGCGATTGATTTGGCTGAGTCTGGGTCGCTTCCGTCGAATAAGGAACAGGGCTCTTCCCGTTTTTGGAACAGGTCCCGTTCTGCCTCCACAACCTCGAATAATAGCACTAGCACTGTTGCATTGGCGGGCACCACATCCATTTCATCTAATAACGATCTCCCCTTTGTTCCCCTCGACGTGTCTATCCCTTGCGAAAGCCTCCTCGACGATGCCTTCATGAACACCGTTTCTTTTTCCAATCGCGGCAGCATCATGTTAGGAGCTCAAGACGCCGCCGCCATTGACGGCGCTATCAAACAGCACACCATGTCAATTGACTCGGCCTCTTCTACCAACGCTGACACGCTCGCGACCGCAAATAATGACGAGAGCGACTCGGGCCACGCCACCCCAACTCCCACTCCCTCAACTACTGCCCCTCGTTCCATCACTCCTACTCCTACAACGCCAACGACCCAAAAGTCACAGACCCTTCCTCGACCCAGCGACGAGTCCAACGACATGAATAACTCTGTTAAGAGGGCAGGCGATGGTTCTCCTCAGGGCCTGATGTCAGCCCCTGACATTCGTGTCTTGGTCGCCGACGTGGAGAAGGAATCTCAAAAGGTGAGATCGCTCTATACTGTTGGCGATGGTTCTCACGGTGAGCCTGGCAAGAGGCACTCGTACTGCGAGCGTCTTGAACCAACTCCCGAAGTCCCGTCCGAGGAGAATGAACTTGACCCGTATGGTTTTCCTTGAATGTCCCTATTATAATCATTGCGGACTATGATTTATGCTAACTTGTGTCTTCTCTTTAGTGTTCCAAATCACCTTTCTCCGGCCTGGCAAATGCCCGCCTCTGGAAGTTCTTCTTCCCTGCGGTCTAGAGGCGGAGGACTCGAAGATTGGGATGACCTTGAGGGTGCCCACGTTGACCGATATGGCTTCATCACACTACCGCCACCGCCTGGTTCAAGAATGGGCACACCAACAGAGACGCGGTCAGCCTCGGGCTCCCCAAGAAAACGTAGCTTGTTACAGAAACGAGACCCTTATAGCTTGACATCCACTCTCAGTGGTAGTGGCCGACGGACTCCAACCAGAAAGGTTTCCGCACGGTCGCTCAACACACAAACATCCGAATTATCAATATCAACATCGCTTCGCTCATCTCGATCAGTAATACGGCAAGCCAGCAACTTGCTGCCCCACAATCGTGACAGGCGGTGGATGGACGAAGCAGGCGACATGCTCAATGCAGCCCCGAGCCTTCAGGACATCGTGGACGAGATTCAAGCCGAGAAGTTAACAGAAGTTATGAAGCGCAAGGAATGGGAAAGGTCTGAAAAATGGAGGAAAATGGCTAAAGTTGTTCGCCGGGGTGGCGAGGGTGAGGGCATGGAGTTTGAGTTCGACATGAGAAATCCGAAGCTGATTGAAAGGACATGGAAAGGAATACCCGATCGATGGAGGGGAGCAGCATGGTGGTCTTTTATGGCCACCAGCGCGAGGGAACATGAGGGATCACCCTCCGAGGAGAGAATTGTTGCCGAATTTCATCGGCTACAGCGACGAAGCTCCCCAGACGATGTACAGATTGACTTGGACGTGCCCAGGACCATCAGCCGCCATATTATGTTTCGACGACGTTATCGAGGTGGCCAGCGACTACTGTTCAGGGTCCTTCACGCAATATCAATCTACTATCCTGAGACAGGTTATGTTCAGGGCATGGCTTCACTAGCGGCAACACTGCTCTGCTACTTCGACGAAGAGAAGTGCTTTGTCATGCTGGTGCGAATGTGGCATCTACGCGGACTGGCTCGTCTATATCGTCCAGGTTTTGAGGAACTCATGGCTGCCATGGGTGACTTCAGTAAGCACTGGCTTAACAAGGAAGTGGCCAGTAAACTAGTGAGTCTGAACTGAAGCCTCTCGACATCCCAAGTTAGGCACTGACAATTCTAGGACGAGTTGTGTATTGACACTACTGCTTATGGTACGCGCTGGTACCTGACACTATTTAACCTTTCCGTACCCTTTCCAGCCCAGCTGCGAATCTGGGATGTCTTCCTCCTATTGGGTAATGACACGTCTTCTATGTCCGAATCACGAAAGTCCGAGACCAACACACCTCAGACGGTGGAATACGATGTTTTGCACGCTACTAGTGCAGCATTGGCTCAAGCCCTCCGAGAGGTACTCTTGGGTGCGGAATTCGAGAACGCCATGAAGGCATTAACATCACCTATCCCTGTCAAAGATGAGGACTTTTTGATGAAAGTGGTCAAGGCGGAATACAAACAACACCACGGCAAGAAGAAGACGTAGCAAGTCTTACTGCCATGACTTCAGCCCAACGAGGGCATTCTCCTATGTCTTTTGGCCTGCTTTCTCTTTGTACATGCGAAGCTGTATCACGATACCCTTCAAGGTGTTTTCCTGTTTTGCGTTGCGTTGCTGATACCCCCTTCATGCTTCGGCCTCTGCTTCGGCCTCTGAGGGACCACATGCCTAAACGAGGTCATTCTCTTCTTTGTATTGGTTCATGAGAGCGTCATGGATTCAGAAAAAGGATGGGAGTTTTTTCCTTTTGATGGTTGATAGCGTTTGGAGCCACGGAACCTAATCTTATATACCCCTCCTGGCATCACTTTGTTTTACTGTCATGCTTCCAGGGTTGCTTTGACGAGGCTTGGGAAAATACGGCGTGTAATTACACTTTAATGTGCACGAGGAGGATAAAGAGATGGCAAAAGATATAGAAACAGGGAGAGGCGAGAGATAGATCAAGGATCGAGCGCTATGTTAGGTTATCAGCCTCGAAGTTAATGTATAACTATGCAGTATCATTGAAGCCATTCCCAGTACTCTACCTTGCATTGTTTGGTCAGATCCATGTAACCTTCTCAGCCTTAGCTAACTGTGGCTTGATCAGATCATGCTGTATGTGACAGAATACGGTGACATGGCTCCAGTCGTACATAAGACAGTAACATCAAGGTATAACAGTAACTGTTAAGTCGTAATCGGGTGTATTTGGCCCCTCCCAACAAAATCCAGCAAAGTTTGTTTCTCCAGGTATCCGTACTTACTCGGAACTCTGTGATTCCGTCAGCCTCAATGTCTGAAGCTGTCATTCTCTTCTGTCCATCCATTCACCCCCGGTTGCTTTTCTCGGCAGACCAGTCTGTGCCCCTCCACCTCGACCGTGCTGATTGCCTCTTTGGGCATGAGTCTCCGACCCCTCCCGGAGCTCCGGTGCGGGGGAGCCGGCGCCATGAGGTCGGGAGCGGCTCACCAACGCGAGGACAAGCGACCAACCTCGATTGTGGAAACACTGTCCATACCACAGCTAAGTTAAGTTATTGATATGAAAAGTTGTTGGGATTGATCCATTGAGCTACTTAACCGCAAAGCAGCCAACACCTTTCGCTTATTCCCTGTCCTTATTTCTGGTACTATTGAAGATACAAGAAAAAACAGAATTGAGTTTGACCCTAGCTTCGATGTAACCAACCTGGCGATAAGTCGATGGACTATAGATGAGCCGAATGAGGGAATGACGCGAGATAATAGCTTCGTTAGAGGATCCTACTCTGTGTCTCATGCTTTATTTTGGCTGATTGCTTCCAATGCTTTCCATATCACGCCCAGACGGCCGAGTTTACCCCTTCAAGACACTCCTACACAAGCCACACATGCATGATGAGAGCTGAAATAAGCATGGCATGAAATTTTCTGTGAACTTTTGAAAAGCACGGTAGCATAGTGGCTTACATGCAGAAGACCCAGTTTGTTCTTGTAGAGCTCCTCCACAAGTCCTTTCCTCTTCTGGTAAGTCAGATATACTATGGCTTTTTCGTATTCTCGACTCCCCTCGCACTCTCTCTTTCGATTCAAGACTTCTCTCAAGCTCAACGACATGGCTGGCTTTGGGTTGCAGCCAGCCCAAGTAGCATCTAGACTTGTCGTGGACTAGACCAGAGCAGACCCCTGTTTTTACAAGGATACAAGATTCGATTCCTGGGCCCCTAATATTGCTTGAAACTCATCAGAATAAGCTATGTGCTGTTAGTGCTATGGGCTTTCAGTAACCGCAACTTTGTTTTGGGGCGTTCCTGGGACTCCTTCGAGAAATAGGCTGTGAGGCTTCTAGTAGACTGAGACTGCTCTTTTTGTATAGGCCGAAGCCTCTTAGAATGTGGCTCAATATTCAAAATAAACAAAGGCAAGAGCGTTCTCCTTCCTCGGTCGGCGACAATTGTTGTTGTTCATTTCGCTCCGAGTCTGTTTGATGACGCTCAAATTGGCTTCCTTGAGAATGACAGTTATGCATTGCCTGAAGCTGCGAAACTTCATCCTCCTCAATCTAAGTCCATAGGATTTCTATAACTGTCCATAAAACAAACAATATTGCCATTTTCTCCCTTTCCTTCGTCTCATCGAGCCCGAGCCCGAGCACGCTATACCCAATGCTGTTCCTTGATGCCTTATACTCATTGAACCGAAAATAAAAGTCAAAAACTCCATTTTGTACCGTGCACCCAACCTTTATTAGCCAATCCTTACCCTCTCCAGTGCAGCTCAACGAGACGTATGTTTAAAACAATGTTGCGGCGCAAACTTCTAAACGACTGATGTAAAGCCAAGGGACCAACTTTGATGAGTCTGAGTCCGAACTTTTAGTAGTGACCATGAGAGATAACCGCTCAACTGGTCTGATGCATATTTGATTCGATAAGTAGGAAGTACAGAGTATTGATTCGAGTATGCCTACTAACAAGCCAGGGATAGTTGATCGATCCGGCCGGGCAAATTACTCTTTTCATGTTTGTGTGTGATTGTGGATTATCGTAAATTAAATGACAGCCACGCTTAGACATAAAATGACTGGATGTGGCGCATAAGCGTGAGAGCCGATCGACAAAACCGCGTCCAGGGTGCACTACCATCAAGCGCCTTGTCCTTCCCCTGAATCTTCTCGCGATTTCGAGGTTTCCTCGATGCTTCGATGCGGCTTTGAATCTCCAGGTGACGGCTGCTCGTAGCGGTTTTCTCGCTCTTCGCTCGGGCGACGGAGCCCTGGATACCGTGTGCTAGGCGGTGGCTCCTCTGACAATATAGCTGATACCGACTGTTTGTTCTCGCTGCTCGGTCTTTCTTGCGAGGGCATGGGCGTGGAGGCGCGTATCGGTGACATTCGGCGTAAAGGTCCGCCAAAACTCTCTCTACGAGACCGTCCCGGCCCGACGACTCTGAAGGGTGACATGTCACTTCTTTGTCGTGAATGACCACGTCGCGATCCACGAAAAGCTGCGCTCGACGAACTGCTTTGACTAAGAGGCGGAGGTGATCGATATCGCTGCTCACTGCGGGTGGGGGAAGGGGCATGATGCCCCGTTGCTTTGCGCTTTCTAGGAGTTTCCCCTATAGTCACAGAAGCCATGTCAGTTCACAGAGAGTCTCTCTTTCTCTTGGTCTTGGACGAACCAGAAGGACTTCCGGGTCGGTTTGAGCTTCCGCTAGCTTGCGATGTTGGTGGCTGCCAGTGGTGAAAGTATATCGAAGGACTCGACTGGGGTTCTTGCTGCTGTTGTTGTTGCTGCATATGCGGATGCTGATGTGAGTGCATGGGAGGAGGAGCGTGTGCGGGATGTGGTACGGTGGTGTTGATGCTCGGTAATGTCGATATACCCATGGGTCGCCCTATAGCACCACTCACTGTCTGGCCTCGAGGCCTCGATGGTGATGGTGGATACACATATCCAGCTGCTGGTGTTGATGCAGATGGAATGCCCGGGTGCTGTGCGTGGGTATGCGACAGTGTTTGAGGTTCTCGCTGGTGTTCAGGCGACACAGGCCACTGCGCGGGCATAATCTGGGCACGGGGAGGAGCTTGTCCAGGAGGCATGAACTGCTGAGCCCATTCCAGGGCAGCTTGTGGCGGGACTCCTCCGCTACCCATGCCTGCAAACACCAAAGGAACCATGGGAGGAGGTATACCTGCCTGAAGCGACGTCCGAAGCATATCCATTTCAAGTTTGCGCTGCTCTAGACGCAAACTCTCCTGTCTCGTCCGCTCTTCCTCCTGCTTTCTCTTGTCCTCTTCCGCCCTCGCCTGTAGCCAGTGTCTCATGGATTCCTCTGCTCCTTGCCATTGCTGAGGTGGAGCAGGTAGTTGGCCCCATGAATCTCTCTGCTGGTGACCAGGAGGGCCCAAAGATGGCTGTGGCGGAGGCGGATGAGGCGGATGAGGTGGAAGATGTGTAGATGGAGGAGCACCAGCCGCTGAGGGTTGCTGGGGAGGAAGAGTCATGGCCGCCGGCGGAGGCAGGCCACGATGAGGAGCCGACATGGGCTGTGATGGTGGACTGTGTCCCCGATAGGCGACAGGCAGAGAATTGCTTGCTGGTTCTCGATATATCAAGGGGGGAGAAGGTCGAGAGGTTGAAGGCGGAGTCGGGAGATCATGGACGGACTTGTAGCCGTAAGTTGGTGGCTGCTTGACGGTAAGCATCGTTGTATGGTAGCTGGGCTACGCCAGTGGGGACATTTGTACGGCAAGAGTAAATGCGTAGATATGAAAGGCGCATGTATTGTTGGGAGGCTGGGGCTTGCTGCGATTGACTTTTTTTAACAGATAAGAAACAATTGACTGAGTACTGGGCATGGGCAGGGGAGGCGGGCAACGATGTTATACAACAAGACTGGCACTCCACGCTTGAAGATCTGGGTAGCTCCGCCAGTACGATTCAACCAGATCAAGCGATCAAGCAAATCAGAGAGCAAAACCACAACATCGAAAGGAAGGAATTGCTATAAAAAAAATATTGTTGTTTGGGCTGTCACGGTCTCGTGGTTCCTCTAATACAAGTCTCAACTGGGGACTGGAGGTGTACAAGGGAGAAGAAACAGACGACGAGAATATAAAGCAAGTGATATCAAAGTAGGAAGAAGGGGGGGGACAGAAAGAAGCGGCGTACAATTTGGGTTGTGGATATGCAAGCTTTGTATAAGATGGCCAGAGGTGACAGGCGGCGAGCTGGAGATGTCGGCCAGCTCCAGAGTTGTGGCGGTCGAGGTGAGCGGGGCTGATGAAACCAGTTGACAAGCAGGCCAAGTTCATTTGGAACCAGTCATGGATGGCTCTTCCACATAGCACACATGGGGGGCACGCGCAGAAAAGAGCTGTCAACGAGTGCGAGTTAGTAGGAAGCTTGTGTGAGAAGTGGAGAAGATCCAAGGCTGACAAGAGACAGCTAGAGACCAACGTTGAGTCGATGTGAATGGATTGGGCCGAGATGAAGGACAGAAGGCCCAGATATGGAAAGTTCCGCAGGGAAGGGGAAAACTGAGGGAAAGATTGGAGCTCTAAGCTCAGCGAAGTTGTTGTAAACGACGGAGTAGTGAGTAAGGATGCATCAAAGGATAACAGCTCAAGACGCAGGTACCAGCCAGCGTGGTGTATTGTCCTGTGAACCACTCTTGTTATTCACAACTGAACGGGCACGTCTAAGTTCTTGTTGACATCGATGATTGGAGTCTCCAAGAAGAGCCGTCCTGTAAGTTTAGAAAAAGGAATGTGTCGAACAGTACCCTCTCAATCAAGGATATTTTTCGTCTTGTTCTGTGTTGTTGGTCGTCCTGTTCAAGCTAGCTTACCACTGACAACTGAGGCAAATGAGACGAGGGTAGCTTGCAGACTTCAGGGAGCTATGGCACGAGACCAACGGCTTCAGGGACCAAGGTTTTTAATGAACGAATAGGAGGGAAGCCCAAACAATAGAAAGAGGACAGGTAGTCGATGATCCTCGATAGAAGATGGAGGAGAGAAAGGAAAGAGAGAGAAAAAGAGGGCTGACCAGCTCGAGTGAGCTTCGGCATGAGTGGAGAGAGGAAGAGCGAGTGGTGGAAAGTGAAAGTACATGCACACGCCCGCACACGCCCACCCGCTTGCTTATACGCACATCATCAAGCGCCGGCCGCCGAGTCACGCTCTACCGGTCCGCATCTTGACGCATCGGGGTCGTAATTTAACAGTCAAAGACTGTTCAAGACAGAGTGGAAACGCTGCATTGTGGGAACTTGCCCTGAGCGAGCAGGGTATGCTCAAACTAACAAAATGATTAGGGATCAAAGAACAAGAGACTACTCCGTGCGGCCAACAGCTTCAACAGGCACCGAAGCACGGGTTCAAACCTCCATCTGGCCAGAACAGTCCGGCATTAGACATTTAAGGCAAGGGCTAAAGCGAATATCGTTCCTGTAGAAAGGACTGCTATCCCCCAGATGATCTTATCAATTGCCAACATGGCAGGCAACTTTTGAAAGTTAAGGATAGAAGCGTGTATCAGAAGAGATTTGACAGATTTCGGGACACATGGTAGGGACAAGACAAAGCACTAGAAAAGGTATAGTAGTTAACCAGAAAGCAGGGGTCGATATTGTAGGGGCAGTGGCAGAGGTAGACCAAAGAAGTGGCTGAGGGGGTCCAGGGCTGGGATGATTGCTGCTATGGAGATAGAAAACCCAGACAATCCCATCGAATTGAACGTGCGTCGTGCATGCTTCTGGGGTTTCGAGCAGCCAACAAGAAGACAGGATGGAGGGACCAAAAAGGGTACAAGTTAGGGATGAATAGATCATAAGAAGTGGAGTGAGTGGCATCGGGAACCAGGGAGGGGCGTGTACCACATGGTGAAAGAGGCGTGTAGATTGCGGTGCGAGAAGCAATAGAAGAATTACTTCATCAACACACATCCAGATACAACATCGGTATGTGGTTGTCAGATGTAAGTTATTAGTCCAAGCCTAATGGAACGTTCTCTCCTCTCCTCTCCTCTCCTCTCCTCTCTTCTCTTCTCCTTCTTTTGTTTCCGTTGCTTGATGTTCTCAAAAGCTATGCCGAAGATCAACAAGGCATAAGATGCTGCAGACATTCTTACCCAAGGACTCTTGTTAATAAGCTTTCTTTGTACCGACTGACTCTGCACCTTACCCAGGCTGCAGCTACGAGCTAATAACACGAGCGCCGAGGCAAAGTGTCCGAGCTGCTGCAGCCTCTGAGCTTCCTGTCCAAACAAGGCTCTCAGCCTTGATATGATACACGGGGCGGGCTGGCAAGACATGTTGGCTCGAATCCGGTAGTTGGGCGGTAATTAGAAAGCCATCAATCGTGTAGTCATACGGAAGGGTAGACTGGTGGAAGCCCCACAAGTGGCTTGATACCTAGGGTCCTGAAAGGTACATACGCCAGACACTTGTGGCAGGAAAACAACAATTTGGATGTTAGTGTTTAGCGCATCAGCTTAATTCAATGCAGTTAGATTCATGATAGGGCTTGCAGAGCTTGGTCAAATACGTACTTTGGCTACCAAGCTTACCTCAATCTTCGTATCCCCTGTCTTGCGATTACTTGTGATTTTTGCTTCGCTTTTGTCTTCAAGGTTTGCTATCAAGGATCCAGGGTGAGTTAGGAACTTGGCCGTAGTAGAAATTCGAAACAGGTCGTGTTGAGTATGTCAGGTCGTAATGAAGCTTCTATATTGGACGCGAACAATGAGTTTCGAATGTTATATGGCGCAATCGAAGTCGTGAGCCTCGTTTGAAATGCAGTTTCAGACTCAAGCCGTTCGTGTATCACAAGGATGCGACTCTAATCGAGGCACAGGAAGTGGATGAAAGTATGGATCGAATTTTGAAAATACCTACCCAGGCTAGAAATCTAGAGTAAAAGCTGTTGCACGAAGCACGGTTCCCGTCGTAACCGGGTTTAAGCCGCTCTCTGGTAAAGTACTAGACTCGAGTGCCTGTGGCTTGTGATCTATTGTTTCGGGTGTGACGGGGGGGCACTACATGGATAGAAGGGTCGAAGAATTGCGAAGGTCATTGAAGTCTTCCACGAAATAGCGTTTTCTTTGGTCTGAAGCAACTCGGTTCCTCTCTCTCTCTCTCTGCCATAAGGGACTTGATATAATGTAAATCCCCCAAGACAGGCAGTAGATACCATGAGCCTGGACGTGGCTAGGCTCCTACTGCATTTGGCTGCTACCCGCATCTCGCTTCTGCAAGTACCTCATATCATCTTCTACTGTGATGAACCAACTTCGGCAAGTATTCGTACATATTTGCAGAGCCTTGGCAGAGAAAGTTAGTGAAAGGCGACGGAAGAGAAGTTGGCAGTTGAGCCCCGAGCCACCCTGGCAATGGCCCTGGGTTCTGGACTTTGCCTGGGTCTAGGCCAAGATGCCTTGCAATTAGCTTGTGACCAAGTTCCTTCAGCCGCTCCTTCCGACCTCATGTGGCGCTGACTTTGAACAAGCTTGGTAGGTAATACTTTTATGTGTGGGCTTGCTTACATCCACCACAAACGTCCCCTTTCATGTCGCGGTTCCGCGTTTCATCTTTGCAAATCTCCATCCTGCCAACCCACTTTACCGAAGTTACAAGGAGATATTATATGTGTATTTTCCCACCTGCTGAACGATTACGCATGAAAGGAAGTTGGCCAAGACGAGCCATTGTCAGACACTAGTCTCCGATCATGAAATGTCCGATCCTATCACAAGTCAATAACTGTATAACCGGTAGCTGGTGCTCACGATGTCCAGTAGCAGCCCAGCATCATATTTCGTCATCATAAAACCGTCTCAAGCTGTTGCAAATCTAGTCCTTTCCTAAACATATTCATGGCAAAGGGCCAGATGTCAGAGTAACCCATGGAGGCTACCAGACCTGCTTGCCTTAGTAGTCAGCCTTTCCAGGATCAGGGCCAACAATGATGCCCAGGTTTGGTCATGATGCATTGGTCGAGGAAAATTGGCACCGTCTTTCTACTCGATCCAATCTAATACCCAACCCTTCTGCAGGACCTCGAGGGAGTCGAGGCGCCTGGTAGTACTGTAATACAGATTAGCGTTGCTCAATGCTCACCAAAGTGATAGGCGGGGTCTTCCCCCAATTCATCCTTGACGGCTTGAACCTATCGCCATGCAGCCACACTTGCCAGGTCCGTCGTCGTCAAAAGCACGTTGGAGCATGGCTTTCTCGTGGTGGTGGCTCACTAGGCCACTTGAAGAATCTCTCTGCAGCTTTAGTCGAAGGCCAAGCTACCCACCTATGTGTTCGGTAGCATAAGAACGGCCAATGGAACACTCCCTCCTTGCCCGGCGCATAGTGTTGTGTGCCGGTAGATTCGTCTGATTTACAAGGATTCCTCAGCTTCACAAGCCCACAACTTGAGACTGATCTCGTCCGACGTAGGAAAGGACACCGGGAAGCTTCTTTAAGTTAGGTAGGTAAGGTAGGTAGCCAGAACCCATCCTAGCAATCGTCATCAACCGATGGGCAAAGATGAGCAAGCTCAGGCGAGCGGTACCCCACCCTTTGGGAAAGCCCCACCCTCTCGAAAACCGTTACCACCCCTTGTTGTGCGCCGTTAGATATCGGAAATGCGCCACGATCCAGGTCAAGGTTCTGACCTGTGCACATACCGGTACGCGGATAAAAGATTATTAA